ATTTGGAGCAGCCACGGTGCTGTTTGTGCTCTGGCCCCCAGCAGAGCAGGAGGATGAGGATGAGGAGGAGGAGGAGGAGGAAGCAGGGCTGACAGAGGCAGAGCTGGCGCAGGTGGTGGAGGTGCTGCTGACCGAGACCGACACGCGCTGGATGCTGGACCTGCCCACGGCCCTCGTGTCCACCGAGGCAGAGGAGGCTGCCCGGGTGCTGTAAGTCACAAATGGCACTGCAAGTATTAAACCTGATTTTATATGTGTCATGTTAAAATAACTTTGCTGTAAATATATCTAGTTCATTTAGATTTATATAAATATTATATATATTATAGATAATAAATATAATATATATAATATATATTATATATATTATATAATGCTTATATATAAATATAAATGTTAAATATATTTTACACATGTAGTGTTAAAAGAACTTTGCTATAAATACATCTATTTCATATATATTGATATAAATATAATATATATTATATATAATATAATATATATAATATATTATATATATTATATAACATTTATATATAAATATAAATATTAAATCTATTTTACACATGTAGTGTTAAAATAACTTTGCTATAAATATATAGATTTCATATATATTTATATAAATATAATATATATTATATATAATAAATATAATATATATAATATATTATATATATTATATAACGTTTCTATATAAATATAAATATTAAATCTATTTTACACATGTAGTGTTAAAAGAACTTTATGCTATAAATATATCTATTTCATATATATTATATATAATAAATATATAATATATTATATATATTATATAACGTTTATATATAAATATAAATATTAAATCTATTTTACACATGTAGTGTTAAAAGAACTTTGCTATAAATATATAGTTTTCCTCATATATAATATATTATATGTATTATATGTATATATATTGCTAATATTTAAATATATTTTCTACGTGTAGTGTTAAAAGAACTTTGCGATACATATATAGTTTTTACTTCTCTATATATGTTGCTATATATATTATAGATGTGTTATATTTATATATATATTGCTAATATTTAAATATATTTTATACATGTGTTAAAAGAACTTTGCTATAAATATCTATTTCATATAAATTATATATAATAAATATAATATATATTATATTTATTATATAATGTTCATATATAAATATAAATATATTTTACACATGTAGTGTTAAAGGAACTTTGCTATAAATATATATTTTTTATTTATATATATTGCTATATATATTATATGTATTATATTTATATATATATTGCCAATATTAAAATAGATTTCATACATGTAGGGTTAAAATAACTTTGCTTAAATATATAGCTTTTATTTATATTGCACTGCTATATATATATTATATATTTTATATATTGCTATATATAATATATAACATGTATTTTACATATTATATTTTATATATTATATTTATATATTATATTTATATATTATATTTATATATTTATATATTTATATATTTTATATAATATATATTTTAATAGGTATGCTTTTACATATTGATATATGTATTATATATATTGCTACAAAGATTCAGTAATTTTAAATTTTATTTTCTTTTTATCATTTTTCTTTTTATTTTATGTTAATTAAGCTTAGACATAGTAGTGAAATAACATCCAATGAACNTTCCTTTCCTTTCCTTTCCTTTCCTTTCCTTTCCTTTCCTTTCCTTTCCTTTCCTTTCCTTTCCTTTCCTTTCCTTCCCTTTTCCCTTTTCCCTTTTCCCTTTTCCCTTTTCCCTTTTCCCTTTTCCCTTTTCCCTTTCTTCTGCAAAATATTTGCTGAAAGGGCAAATTTTTTTTCTGGTGTGAATAATTGGAGTGAGCTATAACCTATAATAATATAGGTTATATATAATAGTACAGCTTAAATAATATGGGTTCTATTTAATAATATAGGTTATATTACATAGGTTATATATATATAAATATAAAATAATATATAAATATAAAAATAATATATAAAATAACATGTAAAAATAAATATTGATTATAATAAATATATATAATAAATTATATATATTATATATAATATATATAATATATATATTATATATAATATAATATAATATATAATATATAATATAATATATATATAATATAATAAATTTATAATAAATTATAAATATCAATATATGTATGCAATGATACCTATAATGAGGTAAATGAAATATTTCCACTCAGATTCTGCATCTGTGCATTTTAGAACCTGTTGTCACCTCCGACACCGAGGGGGAAGAAGACGAAGAGGAGGAGGAGGAGGAGGAGGAGGATGAGGATGAGGAGGAAGCAGCAGAGGCAGCTGAAGGCCCAGCAGAGGAGGCAGGCCCCAGGCTGGAGCTGCTGTGGTCCTACAGGTGTGATTTAACCAGGGGCCACAGCGTGAGCAGCATGTCTTGGAACAAAGCAAACCCTGTGAGTGCACAAACCCTCCTGAGCTGATATTTGAGCTGATTTTTAGATATTTGGGCACAAACTGAGACAAGCAGCTGGGGCTCGCAATAAATCCTGATCCAATCCCTCACTCTCACTGCTTTAACCCACAGGCTTCCCTCACATCACAGCTTTCATTGGCCCAGAATTTCATTAACTGCTCCAGTTTACCCTGAGCACCAATGTTCGTAGACTTGGGCTGTTCTAAAATTGAATTTTAACCCCTGCTGCTAAACTTTGTTATCATTGATGGAGTTTGTTTGTGGTAGTTTAGACACCACGTCTTTGTCTCTAACAGGAGCCTCCCAAAAGAGCAGAATTCCTCAAAATTTAAGGATAAGATGCACAATAACAGCACAGAAGGCAAAGCTTCCTAAATCATGTAAAACTCATGTTTTCTCAACTCACTTTTTAACAAAAATAATGAATGGAAGAGAGGCAAAAAGCAGCTGAGGATGAGAAACAGAAACCCAGTGAGGGGGGAAAAAAAGAGAGAAAACAAAGCTTTTCATGCTTTTAGTGCACCAAATCTCCAGATATTAAAAAGTTAGACACATTTAGAGACTTCAGTCTTAGAATACAGGGCAAACAATCAGCTACTTTTAAAATGTGAGTTCCACAAACTACTCGTTGAGTGCAAGAAAAGAAAAATTACTGGAGCTGAAGGCTGCTGGTTTTTACTTCTGCCTATGGAAAGGAATGAAGGGAATTCACTGGACTGGGGGAAGCTAAAAGCCAGGAGTCTGAGGTGCTCTGACAGCTGACCCTGAAAGGGAAAATGAAAAGCACGCTATTAAATAATGCACAGTAAAATATGATTATAGAGCAATGTATCTCCTGCACGGGAGAGAAGCTTTGTTATTGCAGACACAAAGGAGCTTTGGAAATGCCCTGCTGGGCTCCAGGTGGATCTGGGGCCCTGCTGCTGCTCTGTGCTTGCAGGATCTGCTGGCTGTGGGCTACAGGGAGTTTGTTTCTCGGGGCAAGAAGAAAGGCCTGGTTTGCTGCTGGTCACTGAAGAACCCCATGGTAACGAGCCCTTTTGTTTGCTTTCCCTGCAATCTGCTTTTCTCTGGGCAATTTCTGCTGTATTTCCCTTTTAGCGGCAGTTATTTACTCTAACTTCTCACAACACTGTCAGTAAGAGAGGAAATTTCATAGATGTGACATTTACACCTCTGCAGATCCATCTGAGAAGGGATCCTTTAAAACCAACTATTAAAAAAATGGTTTTTAAATCCATTTAAAACCAATCATTAAAACCAGCCATTTAAAAAAATAATTAGAAATCTCACTTACAAAGCGTCCCCAAAGTAGAAAAAATCTGATTGCCATAAATTACAACATTCCAGTTTGATTTCTACTACGAACTTCTCTTGGCCAAAATTGTATTAGACTAATTTAGACTGGGCAGAGTAAAATCTTTGATATATCATTACCACACCAAAAACTCTCATGATTCCCTGCTGTCACCATAGATATTTTTATGTGTTTGGTTTAGAGTAGCCTTGCCACACCAAATACTCTCATGATTCCCTGCTGCCACCANCATAATGAAGACACCTACTACAAATATACCAACTATCAGCACTCACTGTCTAAAGGCAGTGTGGGCCCGGACCTAAACTAAATAAAATAATAAAATAAAGAAATAAAAACATTTAAAATAAAGAAATAATATAAATATTATAATTTAAAAAACCTAAAATCACAACCAAAAAATACAGACGCTATATAAAAGTAGAACTGAAGAGAAGCCATGCTAAATAATTCTTAGAATATTAATAGTTTAAAGAAAAAGTTTACTCAACATGATTATTTATGAATATGCAACCAGCTAATGTAAGAGAAAAAATATTTAAAAGGTATCTCCAAAAATAAGTGTGCGCTTGGCTCATCTTTATGTTCTTTATCTCCTGTTATCCTTTATGAAACTTTTAAAATTTTCACAAGAAAATAAACGTGTTTTTCCCAGCTGGCACCCATTTCCTACAGCTCCCCGTTGAGGGTGAAATTCTTCCTCCCTTCCACTGAAAATCCATGGCAGCTTAGGAGAATGCAGGGCTGGAGGAGGGCGATAATTTGATTTTTCAGGAGAGCAGTAAGACATTCCAAAGTGCTGCATTGATTCTTGTGGGTGCCTTCTAATTATTCATTAATTAACAAGAGTTGAAGGTAGCAGGCGGCTCCCCTTGGTCCTCCCTGAGCCACCAGGGCTTTGTGGGAGAAGTTTCCTTTTTGTCTCCTGCCTTTCACTGCCAGGTAGGAGAGCTCCTCATCCCCCAAAAAGCTGGGAGAGGGAATTTTGCTTTTTCTGGGCTCTGTTCTGCACAGGCCATTCCTGTTTTAGAGCAGCATCACAAAGATCAGAACCAGCTGCTGAATAACACAAAGGCTGAAATTCCTTTATCCAACAATCCAAAAGCAGGACATGGGGGACATGGAAAAGCCTCTCCTGATCCTCTCCTTGTTCCATATTGAAGTTGGAGGGAGCGACCCACCTTGCATTGGTCAGCATCGACTCCCATTTATTAATCAATCAATCACCTTTTATAACAGTGTTAATCAAGTTCATGCATATTGCAAAATCTGAGCTCACAACAGGCCAGAGATAACACACCAACTCCTCCTTATGTTTCCAATACCAAGATTTGGGTTCTCAAAATTATTCTTGCTTTCCCAAAACAGCCAAAGGTAGAACATCCACTTGTTATGAGAGAGCTGCCTGAGAACTCTGATGTGCAAGGCTCTCAAGGCCTTGATGTTTGTCACTTTTACCTGTAATTAAAAATAACCTGAGAACCTCTGCTGTTCACAGAAGCAGGCTGTGAGAATCTGCTCCTCACAGCTGCCTTCTAGGCCATCCCTGAACAAATCTCCAACAGTTCCAGACCCTGAGAATTCCAGGCAGGATTTCCCAGGGACTCACCAGGCACTGCTTCCTTTGTTTCCCAGGGAGAGGAACAAGATTTACACAGAGCTTTGTGAGGCTAAAATTGACAGTGAGTACTTTGAAGAAAAAATCGTGCAAACCTTCTCTGGAGCTGCCAAAACCAAGGAGGTGCAGTGTGAGCCCATCACCGTGGCAGAGAAAGGTAAACCTGGGGCTGGAATTTTTACTGGGAACTGGAATTTTTACTGGTAAACCTGGGAATTTTTACTTCCATCTCTGAGCAAACGCTCCCTCAGTTTCCACTTGCAGAGCTCCGAGTGCAGGCAGGACACTGTGGGTTGTGGTGGCCTTTTCTGCCCCTCGTAAATCTTGAATTTAGTGCTGGAACACTGAATCCACTGCAATAAAATTGTTGTTAACACTCCCAGAGAATGTTATTGTTGTGTGTAAGAGGCTAAAGAAATCACAGGGAATGCTGTTCCAAACACTTTTCCTTTGTGTTAGTCTATGTAAAACCCCAAAAGTAGATAATAATCTGTTTTGAAAAGCTTTTTGCCACTTGTTTTGTGGCATCAGCAGGGCTCATTCCAGCCCCTCAGCACATCAAGGCAAAAACCCTGATGGAGCTGCAGCATCACACAACAGGAGGGGCTTTAAAATAATCTGCTTTAATGATTCTTATTAAGCCCAGGCAACCTTTTCTGTCAATTTGTAAAAGATGGCAATTAAAAGCTGAAATTCAAATACTAAATGAAAAATAGCAGTTCAAATATCAAGATCTATGGAAGCAGAGGTGGTTCCAAAGCCCAGCCCAGCAGCTGGGGTGTAGGAAGCTCCCTGCAATAACGTAAAAGAAGAAGATAATAATGCAAAAGCAGAGCCCTGTGTGACAGGGAATTCATTGCCAGGGGTGGTGGTGACTCCCTGGGATCTGGACCATCCCCTGGATGCCCCAGGAGCAGAACCTGCAGAGACAGAAGGAGCCAAAACCCCAGCAGGGACAAGCAGCACATCTCTCACAGCTGGGGCTGTCCCTTCCGCCACAGGTAACATTTCCCATTCCTGCCCTTCCTCATCCTCCTAAACCAGGCACATCCCTGGGATCTGTGGGGAAAACTTCCTGGAAAACACTACCTGCAAGAGAGTTTGCTGAAAAATCTCAGGCAGGGCTGCACTTGTCTGCACACTGCCATCAGAAATCATCTTAAATAAAGAGAAATACCCAGGGACAGGGTTGGCTGGTACTCACTTTGAAAAGTAGAAGCAAAGCACCATTTGTGAGAAATTCCAGAAGTAGCTGAAAAAGATAAGGAAATTATAATGAGAAAAAATGATAAGATTATAAAATTATAAGAAAACTATAGGAAAAAAAATCACAATGAAAGTATTTTTTTTTAATTCTCTGCTTTTTGCAGTGGAGGAAAATTCTTATCTCTTGTTCTTTCTGTGTCAAGTTTTATCATGCTCAAAGCATTCCTATGCCATTTATCTGTTATCAGAAAAATGTTATGTTTCTGTTGGGCTCCACGATCCTTGTGGGTCCATTCCAGCCTGGAATATGCCAGGATTCTGTAATTCAGCTTCTTCCATCCCCTTTGCAGACAGTGCTGCTCCTGCCAGGAGCCCCGGGGAGCAGGAATGCCCCTCAGGAGCAATCCTGACCTCAGCAAAGCTGCAGCAGGATTTAGTTGTCATGGAGAGGATTCTCATGGAGAACATTTTCCAGCCCCAGCTCGCGGTCTATCGGCAGATTCCCGTCCTCATAGGTTTGTCCTTGCTCAGTACCCTCTTTCCAGCCAGAAACTCCTCATTTTCCACAGAAATTCCTCACTTTTGCCTGGGTAGGTAAACCCACCTGCAGCAGACCTGCCTCACTCCAGCCCAGTCCAGCTGTCTGTCCCCAGCCAATTTTAGCCACAGTTTTAGAAGTTAGGATGT